CTTTCTTGATGTGCTTAAGAATCGGTATTTGTAATCGGTTGTTTGAAATTGAGAATTTTATTTCAGCAAGTGGAAGAAAAGGAAGATAGAGCCGATCCAGAGATCACCATTACTGCAGATGCGCTGGACAATTGGCTGGGGGGAGGGATGGGGGCGCGCTGGGGGAGGTGCTCTCCGGAGGGGGGCAGTGAGAATGAAGACAACAAGCATGTCCACTTGGAACTCACAGCATCCTCTGCTACCCGGTCAGGGGGATCTAGTCCCACTCCATCTACCAACACCAAAGAAAAAAAGAAGAAGGATAAACATAAGGAGAAGGTGAATTAAATAAAAGGAGAAAGAATTAAGAAAGGAAAAAAAGGGAAAGAAATTAAGAAGAAGGAAATTAAATGTTTATTGATAACATAAGATAAATGATATTTCTTTTCCTTTACTTCTTTCTATTGACTTTCTCGAATATGTATGTATATACAGAGTAATATAAGTAGTATAGAGAAAGTTATGTAATGCGGTGGAGAAAATCGATTTTGAGATTGCGATGGGAATATACTTTTTTGGAGTATGCAAGTGTTTTGAAAAATATCTTCCATCTCTAACTGTCCATCCATCTGTGAACAACACTACTGTCTAAACTATTCATAAGGTTTTTCCCAACATCCATATTCCACAGTCAATTTGGCACGACTCCAAGCTCTTTTTTTTTGGCACAACTCCAAGCTTCCTACAACTACAAAATTGACCTTGGAGATTTTTCCTTCAAATGAAATTTGTTCTGCTTAATAAATCTTTCAATAAAGTCATGTCCATTTTTTTCAAAAATTTTAGTAGTTTTTAAGCAATATTCCATAAAATATGTGCAATATAAAAGAATAAAAATAACAAGATTTTCTCAAAAATGGCTTCAATTTTTTTCTTTAAACTTTTGGTACATATTATATTTACTAAATGCAAAATGTACTGTATAAGATAACATAAATGCCATTTTGTCCTTATTTTGTTTTATCTAAAAATTTTAAAATGTAATTTTTTACAAAAATGTAATTTTTTTGACTTGCCTCTCACCTTGCTAATATTTACATTAATAGTGATTAGTTCACATAACTGCAGTTTTGAGTACATGTACTTCAAATGATATCTTACAAAGTTTCTTGAAAACTCTTTGATAATGTAAAATCGGCAAGAAAGGAAAATATTTTCACTACAAA